CGATCCGAAATAACTAGCTTTAAACCTGCCAAGGTTGGATGCGACCAAGTGGTGAGGGTGAGCACGATCCGAAGCCTCTTGGACTCCGACTTGTCAAATTGAGCAATCATAGAACCGCAATCCGGGACTAATCCACACAATACGGTGCAAGCTGAACTGGAAGCCGTAGAGCACAAACTAGGGGGCACCAGAGGAGCCTTCTTACAAGTCCAAAAGAACTCACAAGAACAAAGGGGTAAGGCATTTATGCAATCTTCAGCAATCTCTTATATATGAGATTTTCAGTTGAACAAAAGTTGTCTAATGGATGGAGTAGAGGAGTATTTATACTAGGAACATCCCTCCTAACTGAGTGTGAACATAAGAAGACACGTTCTGGTCATCAAGGCTAACATAAATGAGAATGCAAAGAGTTTTCTTGGGTTCGTGCACAGCCCTTCAGCTCCTGCGCGGTCTTCAGTAAAAATGGCATAAATTCTTATTGGAAAATGATATTGAGGTGATATTTGATGCATTGGAAACTAGACTTTTCCCTCTTTCCAACCATGTATGCCATGCACCCGGTCTCTCGACTGGCTGGGTCGTACAAGCCTTGAAATTTGAGCCTTTGCACCATAAACCATCTTCTTGTTGGCGTAAACAGCTGCTGGTTGGGCATGGGTTGATTCCTCCTCGATGTTACCCTTGTCGTCCTCAACGTAACTCATCCTTCTTGGCATAGTGATGATGTCCTTGGGCGTAAACCTTGGTAATACAAAGATAGAGCATTTAGGTAGTATAAAATTCTCACTAAAATTTGGGTTAAGTTGAGCAAAGAGCGAGTTCAACTCTTGTTGTATTATCCTAGTACAGCTGCGCATGATTGGACCATGATATGCTTGATCGTTCTTGCGGAGATGTGATCCATCAACTTGGTTTACGTCATCTTCATTTTCTTCATGTGATGTATGACGTAAACCATCACCCTTGTTTACGTCAAGTGTAGCTGGGATGTCCTCATCAGGTCTTGTAACGAAAAAACTTTTCTTACTATGGTTATTTGTTCTATTTGTGTAGAGATTCGAAGCTAACATTGATCAATACAGCAAGGATTGGGTATGTAAAGAGCAGAGACGTGGCACACGTGCATTGCATGAAAGAATTGATGTATGAGTATGTAAGTCAATATATGCATGAGTCCTACAAATCGCAACAAGAAAATTATAAAGAGGAGAGGAGATCGAATTAAAATTATAGATGTCACCGTGAATTTTCTTTTTCACGAGGAAACTGCATGCTTCAGAGCGCCAGGGCTATCCAGCCAAGGTGGCCCCATGGGGCATGACCAGTGAGATAGTAAGTGGCCTAGCTAGAGAAGCAAGCCCAATTGGTGGCGATGAGCTGAATGAAGGCCGAGCCGGTTAAGGAAGGAGCAATATGTGACCATGGCTACTATTGATATAACCATTGTTTATATCATAACTTAACTGGGAGACATTAAGATCAAGTTATGAAATCCAATTCAGCCACTAGCAGCAGTGCTGACGTCAAACGGTCACCAAATATGCATACGAGATATGTTTTGGGTCCATGAGTACTTAATGGAAAGCTCTCGGAGTCTTCTTTCCAACGGTTCCAACTTCATCTCGAAATTCCATCTCGGTTGACCGCAATCACATAAACAAAATGTTGCATCACCTATAATGGACTTATGGGATTGTAACTTCATCTGGCGCCCCATCCTAGTGGAGCATGATCCTAAAGGCCCTAGGTCATTCTCCCATCTCCTTAAATAGTTAGGTACCCCTTTAGGGTTTCTCGAATTTTGTTTAGATTAAAGTTTAGACATTGCTACGTACTTACGCGTGTCGGCTAGACCGTGTAATTACTTGTCTTCGAGAACCCCAATTTACCATTTGTAGTCAATTCCTATTTGTAATATCATATTGTTTTTATCTTATTTTTACTTGTTTCTTCTATTTGCTTGTAGGAATAAGGATAATTTGCACCAGAAAGATCAATAACCTATGCAGAGGTGTATCGATCGCTAAGGTACAACACAACACTGTCTCGTACGGTTGTAGTCGCATCATCAACGTTTCTCTCAAATCGTAGTTATCATCAACTTACCGAAAGATCGGGCAAACTAGAACTGTGAGCATATCAAGTGAAGCTCTTCGTGTGACCTAGGTATGAGACCGAATCGATCACGGAGGTGATGGATGAAAAAATTCGGCAGAAACATAGCGAAGAAAATACTATGTATCAAGCACAGCGCGATGTACGAAAGGATTGGCAAAAATATCTTTAATTTTTATAATAGTGGAGAAAATCACACGGTATAAGTAGTTCAGGAATGTGCGCAGGAGCTATCTCACAATAGAGTGATTAGGAACACATATTTTACCGTCCTTCACACTGGTGGAGAAATCGTTTTAACTCCCGGTTGGTAACCCCCTGTAGTCCCGGTTTTCCAACCGGGACTACTAATCCGGGATTAAAGATCGCTATTTTTAGTCCCGGGTGAAATAACCGGGAGTAAAAATCCATTTTAAGTCCCGGTTGGACTAAAGATGAAGCCTTTTTAGTCCCGATTGGTAACACAAACCGCGACCAAAGATGGAGCCAGGGTAGGCCACGGTTGCTCCTTTATTTTTTTATTGTTTTTAATATATTGATTTCACTTCATCCCCCATCCCCGAATCATGAAATCCCAAATCGATTATCTCCTCCAAATCCTCAAATCGATCATCTCTAAATACATCACAAAATCTTAAAAAAGAAATTACATCACAAGTTCTACGAAATTCATCACAAATACATCACATATTCACGTCACACACAAATCAAATCAAATACATATCAGATCCGAATCAAAAATTCTCAAAAAAAATTAACCCAAATCCAGCAGCCGCCGTGCCGCCCACTGCCGCGCCAGCCGCCGCCGCGTGAGGCCGCCACCTGTCGCGCCGGCCGCCGCTTCGCCGCCGCGAGGCCGCCAGCCGCCAGCCGCCGCCGCGCCGGCCACCCGGCCCTCCGCCGCGCGCCCCCGCCGCACGAGGCCGCCACCTACCGTGCGGCCATACCGCCGCGCAGACCGCCGCCTTCCGCCGGCCGCGCCCGGCCCTCCGCTATCCGGCAGCCACCGCCGCGAGGCCGCTAGCCGCCACCGCGTGCCGCCGCCGCGTGCAGAGAAGTGGGAGAAGTGGGGATAAGGGGGGAGGGGGAGAAGGAGAGGAAGAGATAGCATGAGTGAGGAGAGGAGGAGGAGATAGAACCGGGAGGGAGGAGGAATCTCGATCCGATCCGCGCGCACGCCTCGATCTCCGTGTATGCCGATCTTTTTTCCCGGTTGGTGTTACCAACCGAGACTAAAGAAAATATAGGGGTCTGACACTGCCTACCCTTTTTTAATTGGAATTAAAAATGATCTTTAGTCTCAGTTAATAACATCAACCGGGACTAAAGATCAAAAAGTACCCCTAAGCTTTTAAACTAGGACTAAAGATATTTTTTTAGTCCCGGTTTTTAATAGAACTTTGACTATTGTGAAATTTGGCCGACCGACCAAAGATGGTTTCTCCAGTAGCGTCAGTTCTCACCGTGGTTTCGGAATAACCGCTACCCATATCAATAGATAACCAGATAGTTACTCAATACAGTCCACCGATCTGTTCAAAATTCAGTCCACCGATCTGTTCAAAATTCAGTCCACTCTTCAAGGAAAAAAAATGGTAATCTACGTTTAGTGCAACGCATGGAAAAGCATGTGTTTGGCAAATAGGTTATGAGAGGTGAAATTGAAAAAAGAAAATAGATAAATAGCTAGGATTAAATGAGGTGTGAAAAATACATAATTATGATACAATATTACCCTTTGAAAAGTAGGATATTATTTTCTTATCTCATTTATCAAACAAAGCCTACGCTAGGTTCTCAACCTGTCGATGCCACCGTGCCAGGGTGAGCCTGCCGCTTCCGATGCTGGCGAGCCAGCTCCTCTGGTGCCAACGAGCCCCCCAAATACATCCTCCCCCATGTGATGTGATGGTAGATGTGTAGTGGAACAGGACAGACTTCCGCCTTGTCATTTAGATTATACTTGTTATAAGCTGAACGGCTTATGAGTGATTAATAAATAATTTGTAAATAAAATTTGTATACATATCCTTACGATTTAAAGGCAAATGATGAGAAATAAACTATGATACAACAATACCAAAATAACTCTAAAATTAAGTCTTAAAATTTAAATTTTCACGGCTGCTTAAACTGAAGGGGAAACGATAAGAGCAAGACATTTTGCTTATCTACTTCCTTTAGGCCGGGCTTTGATTCTTTGGTTGTGGAAGGAGCATGTCATATACGTGAGTTGATACTGTAGAACTCGGGCTCGATTTGTTTCAGCTTAAAATTATTATAATATAGATTATTAAGTCAGATTACAATAAATTGGATTAAGATTAGTTATTTGCTAGCTGTTAGCCACTCAATAATCTAGGAGGTTGTTTAGATGGGGCTAAAACTGTTTAGTCCCTATCACATTGGATGTTTGGATGCTAATTTGGAGTATTAAACATAGACTAATAAAAAAACTAATTTCATAAATGAGAGCTAATCCGCGAGACGAATTTTTTAAGCCTAATTAATCTATAATTATCAAAAGTTTACTGCAACATCACATTATCAAATCATAACGTAATTAGGCTCAAAAGATTCGTCTCGTGAATTAGTCCAAGAATATGGAATGGGTTTTGTAATTAGTCTATATTTAATACTAATTCAAACATCCGATGTGATAGAGACTTAAAGTAAGTCCCTGTTTCCCAAACAGCTCCTTAAAAAAAAGCACGTGGATTACCAGATTAGAGTAATATAGCTTATAGATTATAATAATCTTATCATAATAAGCTATCTGTTTATTTATTTCAGCTTGCTTCTAATAATTCAGATTATAATAATGCTAAGCTGAATTAAACAGGGCCTAAGTTAGGCTCAAATTAGCACAGACATTGAGTAGATGTGTTGCCGATGGCACAAAGCAGAAAGCCAGAAACAGTAGTTCTCTCGATACAAGTTCACAAATGAACTCAGGTACAAGATAACCTAGAAAAAAAATGATAGCTACAGAATATCTTACAAGACGACCTCGTATGATTTGACTTATCTTACAAGACAACCTCGTATGATTTGACTTAATGAAATCTGTGTTAGGGCTATCCGTAGGACCTCAATCTGACAGCTACAAAATGTTCTAATACAAGATAAATGCATCCACCACACCGTGATTTTAGGATTTCAGTTTGGCTAACCTGACTACATTCAAGAAGAGGAAAATATCTAAAGTTGGCAACTACTAATTACAAGCATCTCACCTCAGAATATAATAGGCTCTGTCATGGCGTATTCCCGACTAATTCCCATGGTTGAATGCACCATGAATACGTGCCAAGATCAGCAATCATTTCCCATTTTGGTCCATACCAACAGTAATCAAAGCAGAAGCGGAATGCAAGATAATGATATCTTGAACAGTTTAGTCAACCAATATAATTCTGGTAACTGTTTATTCTTCCACTTCAACTAGTCGCCCACGTACCCACCTCATTTTAGACTTCTGCACAGGTAGCGTGTCATCCTCCTGTGGCTCGTCAGGATAAATTTCTGCTACTTCAGATGCAATTTGGTCAATTGTTATTGATTCATCATTAACCATTAATTGATGTGCGTTAAAATCTTTCATCCTGTGATTTTCGTTCACGTCTTGAATAGCTGAAGAAGCGGAAGGAAGCAGATAGGCTCTTTCCATAGAATTTTCTATTCTCTGATAATCTCTAAGGTGATCTGTTTCAGTGAGAGTCGACACGTCAAAATAGAAATCTCTGCCATTAACATTGCTTGGAGGAAGCTCCATCCCATTGACTGGTTTATTCTCTTGCTTGATCACGTCATTTTGATTTGCCATGTCGTGATTGTGCAAATCAGACGCACCTGAGTCTTGTGATGCATCATCAGAAGCACTATCTGCAGGCCCTTCATCATCAACGTGTTGAAGTGATAATCTAGCCTCTGTAACAAGCTTTCTAGCTTCTATAAGTGATGCTTGAGCAAAAGGGCTTGTGGAAGCAACAGTCTCCAGAGCATTTGCAGCCTTCTCAGCTTCTGCAATCAGTGACCTAATGACAAGGAATATAATCAGAAGCCACTTGAGTGACAGAATTAAATGTTTTAAGTGCAACCCAACAAGTGCAAACTTCAGGCATTATTTCTTAAAAAACATATCCCTGGATGTACAGATAGCATGTATAGTTTTTCTGCTCAGCAAACAGTACCAAATAACTGAAACAGGAAATCAAGTGCATAGTGCACTAAAATATATTCAAGTCATAATGATCTGTAGTTTTACATGTTTTAAGATATTTAGGTGTTCATATTAGAGCTTTTGAATTTTTTTTCCCATAAGTACTTATTATGCGTGTACATCTCTGTTTTTCATCTGCAAAACTATAATAGTCAATGTATCGAACAAGATGAACAAACAAAAGAAAATACCCTTGGTATGAACAACTTTTTACGTGAGAATAGTAAGCATCAATTTTCAGGGAAATATGCCTTTTGACTGACATTTCACAAAATTATTAAGAACAATCCAATCCAGTTAGAAGAACTTGTAAGCGCGAGGAGAAAATTTGCAATATAAAAAAAAATATGTTGCCAAAAAATCACCAGTAGTGGAAAAATGTTGATCCCACCCAATTGAACTATGGAATAAGCAGACATACCTAGCCCTTTTAATAGCTTCTTTCTTTTCTATTTCTAGGGCTGCCCTTTGAGCTCGAATCTTTGTTATCATCTCTAGTTTTTCACCAGCCATTGGATCTTTGTAAGGAGTTGCACTTTTCTTTCTCTTAACTGTGGGAGTCGTTCCACATGCATCCTCCAATCCAGCTGATCTGGATTGAATAGGTTTCTTTTTCACAGTATCTCTCTTTGAACCAGGTTCTCTGGCAGATCTTGGCTTTCGTGGTACTTTAGTTCCAGAAGATGTTCCATGGTAGCTAGCAATTCCACTGCATACACGTTCACGGTATTCCTACAAGAAAACAGATAAGGCACTCATAAAACTAGATATTTCTCCTTTATGCCAATTTCCATATAGATTGCTGGTGTGTGATCCATATACTCCTAGCTATATGGAGTATTGGAGTTAAGACTATTTAATCCATGTAACAAAGCTACAAGGAATGGTGTAAGATCAGTTCAGAGCTTGGGTATAATATTCAAATGAAAATGAGAAACATGTAAGAGGAAGGTATTGCTATTCTCTTTACCTTATCTAGCCACTTCGCAGCAATGGCTTCTGCAATTTTTCTCCGCTGCTCTGGAGATTTTGGTGCTCGTCGATTACCTGTTGGCCGAGGCATTGATCTTCTTTTCTGGACTTTTTCCAACCACTCCTGCCGCATCTGCTCAGTCAAGATTTTATATGAATTCCATTGTAGGGATATTCCACCAGCAAAGCCCTTCCTAGCAGCATCTGCTATCATGTCTCTCCACTCCACAAAGCAACCATCCTGGATCATTAATTTCTGTAAACGCAAGTTCCATCCTCGCCTCACTCCCATGGATATCTTTATTCTTGTCTCTTCGCTATATTAAGAAGAAATACCTATCATTAGGATTGGTTCTATGACCCCCTGGAGCTATCACATTTACAGCTTGACATACGCAAATGGACCAACAAGTTTTGGGTTAATCAAACCATAATGAGCAAGCAGATTTACTAAAAGCTCAGTTGAGATCAAAATTTGTCCCTCCCATATAATCGGAGGGATATCTCTAGACCTCTGAATGTGGTTGAAGGTAACCCATTAGAGTATTAAGATAATGATTAATATTCACATAGTGATGCATATCTCCTTTAAATTTTATGTACCTTATGGCAAAGTGACCAGTACCTAAATGCCAAGGTTCATCTGATATGATTTTGGTGTGACCAATATGCACGTGTGGAGCTGCTTTTGGATCATTTCGAAGAATACATATCATCTATAAGGTGAGTAGGTCACACATTTAATATTTTAGAACGAGTGATTTTACAGTCCTTGATAAGGTACTGGAGGTAGCATTAACACTATTTGAATGCAACCTGGTACCTCCTATAACAAAACACAATATTAGCTCCTGTTACGCCAATATTAGCGAGGTACCTTTCGAAACCTCCTTAGGGCATGTAAAATGGGACAGATTTATGTAGCTGCCTAATGAGAGAAAGATCTCTCCGTAGGAGCCTTAATCTGGAACAGAGGCAGCTATTCTTTAGGCGCCTGCCTCCTCAGGTTTGCTTTCCATGCATTTGGCCGGACGGTGATGCATCCAATGCATGCTCAAGCAGCAACACACACACCCTTGGGAATCGCCCCTAATCTCCATGGTGGCAAAAAAAGAAAAATAAACTTCATCCATGCGCCCGGCAAAGAGTCGTGCTATACATGACCTTATGCACCATGAAAAATCTTAGACCAATCCAGTTCCCATGTAATATGTTTCTAACTTAACACTGTGCACGTTCAATAACCTATTGGAATGCTAATGTAGGTTCTCCACCAAGGATGAATACATGCCAATATGCACCAAAGAACCATACCAATCGCCAAAACACTGTCAACCACCTAGGCATGTCCAGCATACAATAATACTTAGGCTTCCTCCCTTAGCTTGCATAAGAGTAAAATTAGCTTCTATGGCCACCAAGGTTTATCTGGAACTCTAAAGTATCAAAACTAGACTATAAGGCATTGCCAAGGGTGGACATCCCATTATGGCAGGCTAGGGTAGTTACTCACCGAAAGCGGGAACCACCTCCATAGTGGATTAATGGCCTCCACCATGCAGCATGGACCTCGAGAGTGGGATTCTGTTGCGTAAGATGAAGGAGAACTCCACCTGAGCTATGCTCTAGAATATGAGCTGAGTTGCAGGCCAAAGTAATTACACAGAGGCGACACTACAAACAAGAAGCAGGAGGTGCAGCCTCCAGGACCCAGCACCAAGTTTAGGAGGCCGAATAAAAGATAAGAGTATAACTGAGTTATTCGGTGGGAGAAGGTACCTGTTAAAGCAGGTACAATAGTACTATATCAGCAAGCTATACAAATGCCACATCAGATTTTTGCGTGAGCTGGAAGAGAGAGGAGAGGAAAGAGAATAGGACTGGGTGACTAAATTAGCATGAACTGCAGCACAAGCTAAGCTACGATGAAGGGGTAGACCCCAGGGGCGGGCCCACCATGATTCATGGGTATTCAGTTGAATACCCAAGATTTTTGACAAAAAAATTCATATATGTAATATATATTTCATATGTATATGAAAAAAATATGTAAAATAGACTTGTTTCTTCAGAGAGGCCCGACTTAGCACCATCCTATCCCACCTCCGTCCTCTCCTCGGCTGGTCGGCCCATTGGCCCAATAGCCCATATCAGCAAAAGGGAATAATGAAACCCTAACCTCTCCTTCCCAATCGATCTTCTCCCTGGCGGCCTCCCGACCCTGATTCCCGACTCCCGACGGCGCACGGGCACAGCGACAGCGGACTAGCGGAGGCGCGTCGGGGTCGCAGCATCGCCTCCCAACCCCGACGGCGGCGGTGCCCAGCTGGCTGCCAAGCTGCTGCAGCTTCACGGCTACCCAGTGGCCACGCCTGCGCCCCAGGGGCGGGCCCACCATGATTCATGGGTATTCAGTTGAATACCCAAGATTTTTGACAAAAAAATTCATATATGTAATATATATTTCATATGTATATGAAAAAAATATGTAAAATAGACTTGTTTCTTCAGAGAAGCCCGACTTAGCACCATCCCATCCCACCTCCGTCCTCTCCTCGGCTGGTCGGCCCATTGGCCCAATAGCCCATATCAGCAAAAGGGAATAATGAAACCCTAACCTCTCCTTCCCAATCGATCTTCTCCCTGGCGGCCTCCCGACCCTGATTCCCGACTCCTGACGGCGCACGGGCACAGCGACAGCGGACTAGCGGAGGCGCATCGGGGTCGCAGCATCGCCTCCCAACCCCGACGGCGGTGGTTCCCAGCTGGCTGCCAAGCTGCTGCAGCTTCACGGCTACCCAGTGGCCACGCCTGCGCCCCCGGGCTGCCGCTTGCCGCGAAGGGCGCCATCCGCCCATCCCCTATGGCGCCCACGCGCCGCCGCCCCTGTGGACTGTGGCGCCCAGGTGCCCGCGCAGCCACGCTTGTGCTCCGGCCTCCTCTGTCGTCTCCACCACTCCACCGCGCCAAACGCCCAGACGGCAGGACCCAGACGAAGGTAAAACTGGTTAGGAACATTTTGGTAATTAGGTTCGAATAGGATTTAGGAATTTCGGATTTATAGTTCCTAGTTGAATCCAGGATGGTTCATTTTATTTAGGATTTGAATCCAGCCATACAGGGATGGTTCATGGTTTATGGATGAACAATTGAACTTTGAAACTTGTGATTCACTGATTTGTGAAGCTTTGTAGCAGAGTCAGTGCACATATTTAGCAGAGTTAGCATGGTTAATACTTAAATTAGAAGACCATAGTGTTGTTTTGTAGGTTTGAAACATGAAGAGGAAAGTGAAGGATAAAGACATCGTCACTTATTTTCAAAATATCAAGAAACGAAAAGTTTCTCTCTAAATTGTAAGATTTCTTATCATTTTTTCCATTTTCTATGCTTTATAAATCTGACATGTTTTGTCAATTAATACTTTAGTACTGTACTTTAAAATATGCTTAACATATTTAATTTATGGTCAATTCTATGAATCTATGACTTTACGACGTCATGCTTATACCGTTATATATTATACAACTATTAGACTTTGTGTTGGAAAAAATTATCTCTTCCAATTTCGAATACCCAAGTTGAAAATCCTGGGCCCGCCCCTGGTCGACCCCACCTTCCTCCTCCCCAATCGATAGCTGAAACAAGGTCATGGTGGGCCTAAATTGATCAATAAAATAAAGAATGTGGCTGTAGAATAGAGCTCATCTATTGCACCAGCTATCTACTATGTGATCAATAGATGACGTAGATATAATTGGAACTAGAAACTTCCTTTCTTATTAAACTTGCTCTTAGTTGGTTTCTAACCTACCCCCCCCCCCCCAAACACGCACACACACACTCATCAGCAGACTGTAAAAATGGCACATCAGATTTTGGTTAATGAATCACAAGCAAGCAATGTAGCAGGTGGCGCTAGCACTGGTACGGCAGTGACCAGCGGAGACAGGAGGCCAGATCCATACATGAGTGCATGTGAAGCCATGATGGGTATATTCCTCATTGTTGTCTACACCAATGAGATCCTAGCATTTAACGTGAGTTATCTGGATGCATCACATTAGTGCAATTTGACATGTGCTCTATTTTCTCTTTGCATGTTATATGCTGCCAATAGAGTCGTCAAAGGCTAGACAGTTTTAAAGAATCTCAAAAATGTGTTGGTCATGATCTATAAGTAACTGTCAAATAAATTTGATTATGTCTGATTACAATGTAGCCAAGGCATAACGGTAATGGAAATATCAAATTATCAATTGTAATTAATGTTTAACTTCTGTTGAAGTGTGGTGAAAGCTTCAATAGTGAGGAATTCTTCTACATACTGCCTTCAGCACATGTTTGCATACAGACTACAGTTGTTCATCCCAATTAGTTCCATGTGGTAATGTGCTTGTAATACAAATACATGTTCATTTTCAGATGCTTTTATGGTGGTGGATTGTGGGTAATACACTTTGTTTCATTGTTGTCAAGTCGTAAAGTTGAGTCGAGGTACCCCCTACACCGACTTGGCTACTGAGTCGACAAGTACACAACTAGTCCATGATTTGGTCGTGCGAAAACAGAGGATGGACTATATAGTCTTTACAACTGTGCTAGCCCAATATATGATAGAAACTATGGAATATGGAATAGCCAGCAATAACATAAGTCCTAAAGTACTAAACACAATAGGCCAATTAGCATGGTGAATTGGTGTTTTGGGGAAAGGCTAGTTCCAGGCTTGCAGCACCAGCAATTTGGAAGAAGTGGGAGCCAGGGAGATGGAAGAGCAGAGGAGATCAGAGCACCAGCATTGGAGGAGAGGCTGAGAGCAGGGGAGGAGGAGGTTGGTTGGTGACGCTCCTCTCACCCCTGGTGCACTCCTCTCTGCTTGATGTTGGCTAGGGGAAGTGGAGGCTAGGGTTTACCTCCCAGTTGCTATAGTATCCCTTCCCGTAAAGCAATAATGGACTAGCCGCCTAGGCCCATCCATGTTTTCACTGCCGACCTAACCCAAGGCCCAACACTCTATCTGCGAACACATTGCCCACCTAAACCGACTTTATGACTAATCGTCTGATTTGATAACAATTGCTTTGTTTATGCTGGCAAATCAGCCATACCTAAAACCTAGTGCTGGGTTCACCACTGGGAGTTGCTACCAAGTAGAACACGTGCCAAGTAATGCAGTCATACTTAGAGAAGAATAGTGAATCCTTTACATTTGTACGTGGATGTGTATAAAATACCTTCTTCAGTTCAACTGTAATCATAGCTTTTCAAATTAAAATGCACGCATATAACTTAAGAGCAAATAGTATCCTACCTCTGTGCATGTCCCAGATGCATCAACTTTTTCTTAACCTGCACAAAAAACACTTTAGGCAAGCTACACCATTGATTAAATAGTTTATCATATGAACTATAGTCAAATATAATAGATATGAAAAAAATGATAACAGCGATCCCAACAAATAATCATATAGATAAGCATGGTTCAAAACTGAACACAGGACTGTTGCTGGTGCACTCATGCATTGCACCACTGGGAACTAGTTTGGTGTGATCCTTTGCAGTTGGAATATTTAAGTTACTTTTGGGATTGAAGTTGCTTATAATAACCTCAATTGGGTGGATCACATTTCGATATATTCTGTCTGGGTACTCAACTAGCTACACTTTCTTAAGAAATTGGAAATGATTGTCTTTTTACATTAAAAAACTATGATGCAAATTGTGGTATGGCAATCTTCATAATAAAATATAATCTAACTAACTTTGCTCTGATTAACTAAACCAAATAAGAGACTATTTCCTACTTTTCACATGAACTATAAAAATAACTGCAGCACAATAACCATTGTGCTTAAACTGTTGGTCTGATATGTTAATTACCACATGCCCTTAATGTGGCATTGTATCTTAATTTTATGCAACATAAGTCGCTTAGCATGGTTGTAAAACATGGGACAACGGATGGCGGAAAGAGATGGGGACATGAATAGTCTAATTTAAACTGCCTTCGTCTTGATTGTAATAAACATGATGAAATGAAATGTTACTACTATAATATTGAAGTGTAAGTATGGTAGTCATGTACAGTTTTGGCAGCATTTATATAAAATCACCAATAGCAATGCAAAACCAAAGCATTTGAAAATTTTAACAGATGGAATTATAACTTTCAGATATGATATATTCCACTAAGCCATCAGAAATTTAGTGGTGCTTTTGCACCACAAGCCTAATAGCTATACACAAGTCCAGCAGCAACACTTGTTACACCACAATGTGAGATAAACTCAACCATAAGATGATAAGAGTAGAGATGCTATGCTTATCTAACAAATAACATGGTAGACTACATTAGTCACTAAAATTTGGCCCTGCCAACAACACTGAGAGATGCAAACTTACAGCTAGAGACCTAACTTTCTTTCGGATGGAATTATGTCCCCATATTTGATCATATGATGCTAATACTATGTGCTTATAGAAATCTAGTCTTGTTCAGGCAGACTCTTTTTTAATATTATCATCAGGACTCCTAGATCTATGGAACTTTGCACAATTTCTAAGGCAAGTCAACTATCCAGTAAATGCATGACACTACTAAATAACAACAATAAAAATCTTACATGACTTCACCTTGGGATCCTGCATCGCAATCCTGGTTCTCTCCCGAATCCTCTGCAGCGTCTCTGTATACGAAATTGAATTCAATAACCCAGTATAATTTCTTCAGTTGTGAATCATTGTCCTTGCAGTTATTTAGTTTTCTTTCTTTTTCGAAAAGGAGTGTCATTGTGAGTCTTCATCCTTGCAGTTATTTAGTTTTCTTTCTACGATAGTGAATCCTGAGATACTCAGCCATGAAGGACGTTTAAGACATCATGCGGCTAATATACAGATTCCAACTAGTCCGTTCTCAGCTCATCAACAATTGAATCAAGCATTTCTCACAAAAGAAGGTCAGGGAGATAAAACAACAGCTCTTACCTGGGGTGTGCTTCCTGCCCTTGTTCCACGGCGTGTTCCCCTTGTTCGCCTTCGAGATCCGCATCCGCCTCAACCTCTCCCTCTCATCCACTGCATCCTCCTCCTCCTCCCGCTGCTGCTGCTGGCCCGGAACCCCCTCCACATCCCCCGGAAACCGCACGTCCGCCTCCTCCGCGACGCGGTCTATTGCCAGGGCCGGGCCAGCCTCCGCGACCACCCGGACCGCACCGGCGCAGCGGCGCCGCGGCGGCAGGAGGCGCAGCACCCGCCGCCGCTGCGCGTGGGAGGCGCAGGGCCACGGGGGCAGCCGCGGGAGCCGGGGCCAGGACGAGACCGCGTAGCAGCCCTGCAGCTGCGGCGCCATCAGAGGGGAGGAGCTCGCCGCCGCTTCCCGCCGGCCCGGCCGCCTGGGCCTACGCGGAAGGGCTAGACGGCGGCGGCGCGGCGAGGCGAAGGCGAAGTGGAGGCGGGGGCGTGAAATGGTGGAATCTGGGTGGGGAGAGTAGCGTGGCTCTGTGCGTGTGGGGCGCAGGTGGAGCGGAGCGGGGATAAGACGGGGAGCGGCGAGAGGGGGACTGCGAGGGTTTAACGCACTGGCTAATGGCTATTGGTCTAGTAGGCTGTATTTATCTGGGTGTGAAGTTTCAGCGTGTCACATCGAATATACATACACATATTTAAAGTATTAAACGTAGTCTAAAAATAAAATAAATTACAGAATCCGTCTGTAAACTGCGAGACAAATTTATTAAGCCTAATTAATCCATTATTAGCAAATTTGTCAAATGTTTACTGTAGCACTACATTGTCAAATCATGGCGCAATTAGGTTTAAATGATTCGTCTCGTAATTTACATACAATCTATGTAATTAGTTATCTTTTTGGTTTATATTTAATACTTCATACATATATCCAAACATTCGATGTGACAGGATGTAAAATTTTGCCATGGGATCTAAACAGGCCCCTAGTAGTGGCTAAAATCGACTCACTTTTACACGGAATATATACGAGAGAAAATTTTATAAAACGATAAATGTTTGGTATAATTATTAGAAAATTATAAATCAATCATATAACTATAAACTTATGGTAAAAAGAGTTAGAGGTAATATAATTTGCAGCGTTATCCTAATGAGGAGTTTTAAAAGGTAAAATACATGACTGCTGGTTCTTAAACTTTAGAACGCGTTATTATTTAGATCCATAATATCATAAACCACGTATCTAGGTACATAATATTAGTTTAACTTGTCACCTATAATCGAAACTATTTTCACTTGGTATGGAACTACGACATGACTATCCAATCTAACTAAAATTTTGCATTCGGCCCCCTCCGAAGCCTCCGTAAAAAAAAAGTGCATTTATTCCCGGCATACATATCATCACCACCCACCTCCCTATAGCAACAAATATATTCCCCCGAGCCTGTTGTGGTTTCAATAGTTAGAGGCTCCGCTAGCGGAGAAAGACAACGTGGGTGGGAGAGGTGATCCTCCAAATCTATTGTGGTGTCGTTATTGTTGAGAAGGTGGGTGATGGATCTCAACTTCTAGTAGATGACTCGGAATCGCCGCCTATTTATCGTGAGTTTTATTCACCCATATATACGTAGAAGATGCTTTATAGTAACGTTGGTTTTTTTCCATTTTTGCAACTGAGTCGTAATCTAGTTGCATTTATCAGCCAAGCTACACTATTTATGGTGTTATCTTCTGCCAATTTGAAGACGTTGAATTGCTTGGAGAAGACGGTGATGCCAAGCTGTAGTTTTCTTCATAAAATAGGTGTCAAATCAGTTTATACACGTAGGGCCTATCCAGATTATAGCCAAAATAAACCTTACCAAATTCTGGCAATGCCAAAATTTTAGCAAGTTGGCAATATTGCCAAATATCTAGTAGAATTTGTTATGTATTTACTAAATTTGGAAAAAAAAAATTAAGCGTAGATAATTTTTTTTGATAATTTTTATAAAAAATGGTATAACTAAAAATAGCATAAATCTAAACAGCCCCGTAGTGATTGAATCAATACAAACATGTAGTTTTGGACCCTTGTTAACTAGATCCATAGCTTTGTGATAACATTTCAAAATATATGTTTATTTTGAAAAGAGGTAATATCCTTTGGGTATGACTTTGTGTCTTTTTAATAGTATATGTTCCATTGGAGTATATAATATTTTTTGCTAGGGAATGGTATATGTTTTTTTATCTTGTAGAAGTATATACTACTTTTTTTTCTTTCTTGTAGAAATACATACTACTTTATCTCGTAGAAGTATGTACTACTTAATTTGTATGCTCTTCTTCAGGTATTTACTACTTTTTCTCTAGCTGTATATACTTAATCCATCGTACATGATTTTTTAAGTTTTCAGTATATACTAAATCGATCGGTTAAAGAGTATGTACTGATTTTTCAAGTATCCAGTGTGTATTAAATCGATCGGTTAAGGATTATATACTGAATTTTCAAGTATGCAGTATATATTAAATCGATCGGTTAGGGAGTAGTATGTACTGTTTTTACAAGTATATATCCAGTACACTGAATCCCTTGTTGAACCAGTATATGCTACTTTTCTTACGGGATCTGGTATGTAGTACAGCCATCGTTGATACAGTAGAATGTATATACAGGAAACTTAGGCCTCTCACAGTGCAGCTTACCATCATTCTATTTCATACAGGATGAAGATCTGGATCAAGTTTTTTATTCCCACAGTGCAAATAGCCTCACGAGTGACTTACTTCTTCTTTCAACCCTTGTAACTTTCCATTTCAGCCCTCACGTGTTTATCAATTTACAAAGAAATCCAAATTTTATAGTAACCACCCTAAAATCGAGAGAAGAATATAAATCTCCACCCATACTACTTTACCCAAATCCCCCAACTACTCCTCCCTCACGGTCACGCCGGCTCTCTCCCCTCTTCTCTCCGCCGGCGCTGGCTCCCCTCCTCCCTCCGCCGGCACCAGCTCTCCTCTCCTCCGGCGAAGGACGGCGACGAACTCGGCGAAGAACAGGGAGACTAAGCAGGAGACTACACCTTATTAACTTATTAACTCAGTAGGCAGAGCATCAAAGCATGCATTCATCGGCCATTGGACTGTCGACCTTTTGGGAACTCCAAGAGTATAATATTATCCTTCCTCAATTCATATCCATGCAAACAACAAAGATCTCAATTCTTCAGTTCATATCCATGCAAACAACAAAGATCGCAATTTTAATGAAATGGTTAGCTGCTTGCTCACCTTGTTACTGCAAATGTTTACGAAGTTCATCCCATTATGTCCGGGGAGAGGCATTAGAAAATATACAAAATGTACTTCAAGGTATTGCTTTAGATCGATTGAAGCACTAAAACACATAAAACTGATGTTGCTTCAATGACAACAGTGGTGCAATATTAGACAGTACTGATGCTCCCTGTCTATACCAAAGAAGCTCCCTGTGTCATCCATTGAATTAGGATGCAGAGAACTCGTTCGCGAAAAAAAAACGTCCGCGATGCAGAGAACAGAAGATTGACCTAAATTGCAATTAAGATGATCGTGCTCAAGAAAATAGAGGTGGGAAAGGGGTAGTAAAGGGTGCTTGGGAAAATCACAGAAATGCACACGTTGAAACAAAAACAGCTATCAAGTGAGTGTCAGAATAATCACAGCATATATATCAATGTAAATATTAGACATCTAAATATCTAAACCCCATAACAAATGTTGGTAATTCAGCATCAAGAAAAATTGAGTGCACATAAGAAATCCACTTGCAAAGACAAATCTTCTTGGGGAATAAGAATGACTAACCAGCATTGCATCAAACACCCTCTTGGACCGGAGTATTAATGATCATTTTGTCCCTAGTAATCCTCAAAATAGATTGACTGGGAGGCACTAGGCATGTAAATTGATCGGCTCGTAACTCGATGTCTTGCTTCTGTTCTGGATCAGGATGAAACTACGAAACAAAAAGGGACAAAACAGATCCACATTATTTGCACTCCACATTCAGAAATTGACTTCAGGAAAGGGGATAAATTGATTTTGTACCTTCACTGCTGAGAGAGAGGAGAGATCGACCAGCCCCATCGGCGGCGACAGCGGCGGATGGGGCCGAGGTCAGCTCCAACCGCGGCGGTGGGGAAGAAGCAGGCTCCGGCGGCGGCAGAAGAAGATGTCGGCGTGGGCAGCGGCTCTAGCGAGGATGTGGCGGCAGTCCACGTGGAGAAGGGGAGGACTCCGTCATCGCCGCCGCCGTGCCGGCGCAGGGCCAGGTGGTGGCCGCCTCCGCCTCCGATTCATTAGGGTTCGCGGCGTGGGAGGATTGGGAAAGTTTTTCTTTTTTCCTCCGAGGTGGTGTTCGGCGGCGGCATCGCGGCAGGGAGGTGAGGAGCGAGGAGTAGCGAGGAGCGCGCGTGGAGCCGTGGAGTGCGTGGCGGAGTCGGCTCCATCGGGGGCAGGCCACGGCGGGAGTCATTGCGCGGGGGCGAGGAGGAATACGGTGGAGTCATCGTGCGGCTTAGGTGGGACTGTGGGTCATTGCGTTGGGATGGGATGCACGGATGAGATGAGATGACCAGGCAAATGGACGAATGAGATGAGTTAGGATGATTTGGTCTGTAGGATTGGAGGGGTGCAACTTCTCCTTTTTATATTAGTATAGATATAGATATATATGTTCATATTAAGCTCAATTCAATTAACATGCTCATCCCTTGCTCCGCGTTATGCTCACACACTCTAAGTTACTCCCAGATATACATACATATGTTATATTCTATTGTTCTTAGGTTTGCCATGGCCACAACCATATGTTGCTGCTGAGTCACGTAAAAAACGCAAGGCAACTATATATGATTCGCAAGAGAGAAGAAAGTAAGATAGATTATTCTACATTGACAGACTTTTATAGCAACTTCCTTTTTGTTGATTTTGTACAGCTTTTGTTGGTGTTGCAGAGCTATATGCTGCTATTTACTCCCCTTCATCTCGATCTGTTCGGCGTCGCATAATCCCAAATGATAATGCTGTACACCAATGCAACAATGTCATACACAACTACCACAACAGAATCTGTCATCGGCTTCTCACCAAGGTGACGATGGTAACTAATTGATTTATTTTCAGTTTTCTGTGATCCACTCCGATGACATAGAACTGTTTCCTCAATTCTTCTGGGTGTCTTTTTCTTGCCACCAGATCTTAGGCAACCATTTCCCGGTCGACACCACCGTAAGTTTTATTATTTTATCAATCTTTATGTTGTAATATCCATTATTTTTTTTAGCACATGAGGAACATACATGATATGTGTGTTTCTAATATGTCTAGGGGATATATCTCCTCATTTTGCCTCAAACTCATAGTTGGTTTTACTCGCCAGCATTCACCTACAGACGTCATGCTTTTCAACTCCGCGGTTCTCTCTTGATGTTTGCTCTATGATCACTCTAGTGCTTGAGAAAGAGGTTTCGTCATAATGATAATTGCCACGGCTCAGCTGATTCATGCCAATGATCGCCTATGTATGGTGATGAGAACATACCATATTGTTCATTAGGTTGCCACATATTTTTATCTATCTTACTTTTTTATTTATGCATTTTCCACTCAGGCACTATTTTTTCACCTTTACACCTTGGAGGACCTAACCAGACATGCAAGTATTGTGGTGCTCTCTTTTGGTATAAGGAGCATGTGTGTGGTCAAGGATAGGCAGCTTCACGTGTGTACAACAAATGCTGTAGGGGAGGAAGTGTTCACTTATCGCCATACATATACCGCCTCCAGAACCATTGCTTAGTTTGTTGACTGGACAAAACCCTGCATTTTCTACCCACTTCTTTGATAATATTAGGCGTTATAACTCTATTTTTGCTATGACAACTATGGACGTGAACATCATACGGTCTATTAATGATGGAGGAGGACCTTATGTTTTCAAGATTAGTGGGCAGCTATGTCATTGGATTTGATCTCAAGAGATGGTGCTAGGCCAAAATATTGTCCGCTATACATTTTTGATACTGAAAATGAGATCCAGAATAGGATGTCGGTTCCATGCATAAGTGGTGGTTTTAAACCAAATGAAAATGTCATTTCATCTTTGATGAGGATATTTGATAATCACAACCCGATTGTGAGTGTTCCGAACTGCTCGGGATAGATTGGCTAACCAATCTGAAGACAAGTATTATGTCAAGCTATTTGTTGTGCCCAATCAACATGGTGGTGTGTATAGTGCCCCTGTTCCATCTAAGGTTGTTGGGTTGGTGGTTAATGATTTAATGAAGGCCATGATTTAATAATATTTCTCATCTACAAAGGATAAAAGAATCTCATTGCAAGTTTATGGCTATGCAATACCCTCTGTTGTTTCCGTATGGGGAAGATGGCTTCTACAAAGATCTCAAGTACCGTCAATGCCAATGATCAGGGGCTATTAAGAGGAAAAATGTCACCAAGGTAGAGTATATTGCATATAGACTACATGATAGAGCTGATGACTTTAATACTCCTTTACGGTGCAAGATACTGACTCAAGCCTATGTTGTTGATGGTTTTGTTGCGTCGAGGATGGTTGCTTGAGCCATTACAGGAATGAGTCATTTCAGAAGAAATTTAGAGCTAGCCCATACAATTATTTGGTTCATGCTGTTAGCATTGGCATTACAGAAGGATCAGCAGCAGAACAAAAAATTGTTTTGCCAGCTTCATTTACTGGAAGCCCACGTTATTATTATCAAAACTACCAAGATTGTGTTGCACTTTGTCGTAGGGTTTGGGTGCCCACATCTTTTCACCACTTTCACATGCAACGCTTCATGGCCAGAAATAACACAAGCTTTAGCACTCATTCCAAGGCAGCACTCCTCTGATTGACCTGATATTGTTGACCGTGTTTTCCAAATGAAGCTAAGAATATTTATGGATGACATAACAAAATACCAGTTTTTCAGTCCTATATCTGGAAGTAATTTCCATAAATCCTTAATTTTGTCCACAATTTCTCATTTAACATGCCAGTTTTTTAAGATTTATTTTATTTGCCCAGTTTTCCCCTTCACTGCTTCTTATTTGCTTCTCCTTTTTTTCCTTTTTGTAGTTCTCTAGACAATTGAGTTCCAAAAACGTGGATTATCCCATGTCCATGTAATCATATGGCTTGAAAATAATGGACCTCTTGATGTTGATTGGATTGATGCCTTTGTACCTGCATAGCTACCGGACCCATCTGTTGATCATATTGGTTATGAAGCTGTCTCCAAGTTTATGATACATGGCCCTTGTGGCAGTTCAAACAAATCGTCTACTTGCATGAATGATGGAAAATGCAGTAAGTTTTATCCTAAAGAATTTACAGAAAAAAACTATGGTGTTGTCGGGCGTGTTATATATGCTCGGCCAAAAAACAATATTACCACAGAGAAAGGTGGTGTAGATGTCGATAACAGGTATGTTGTGGCCCATAATGTTGATCTCTTGGTTAAGTACCAAGCACACATCAATGTTGAGATTGTTAATCGTGATGGAATGGAGAAGTACCTATTCAAATACACAACCAAAGGTCCTGATTGTGCTAAGGTTGGGATACGGGATGGAGGCAATGAAATACAACAATATCTTGATTGTAGGTGTGTAACACCTTGTGAAGCTGCATGGCGCCTACTGCAATTTGACATCCACCACACTGATCCATCTATGGAGCGCTTACCTGTGCATCTCCCACTCGAAAATAGTGTGGTATTTTCTGAAGATGACCATCTGGACCAGGTCATTGAAAATCCACGTAGCACCATCACCAAATTGACTGCATGGTTTGATGCTAATAGGATATACCCACAAGCTCGCCAACACATGTATGTGGAATTTCCTGAGTTTTGGACATGGCATGGTGATGGTAAATATTGGAAACAACGCTCTCAGAGCCATAAGGGCAAGGTTGGTCGCATTGCCAATGTTGGACCTAACCAAGGTGAGCAGTTTTACTTGCGTATATTACTGCATGTTGTCAAAGGCGCTCAATCCTTTTCTGATGTACGCACTGTTAGTGGCATTCAATACCCAACTTTTCAATCTGCATGTGAAGAAATGGGGTTACTTGGCGATGATCGTGAATGGTCTCATGCTATCACTGATGCAGCACAGTGGGCGCTTCCATATCAACTTCGACAATTATTTGTCATGATGCTTCTATTTTACCAAGTATCAGACCCAGCCAAGTTGTTTGACAATAATGTTCAACTAATGGGTGAGGATTTTGCGTATCGTGTGTGCCAGCAGACACCTAGGATACATCAAAATATCCTTCAAGAGCATATCAGATTATCCACCCTAGCTGAATTGGATAGATTACTAAGAGATGTAGGATACAGCTTGGATCACTTTCAGTTACCGCGGCTAAGCCATCTTGCTTTTCCACCATTGGAGAGTAGGCTTATAATGGATGAACTTGCTTATGGAACAACTGAGGTGAATGAACAGCTCAATTAATTAAATCCCAATCAGATGCGTGTTTGCAATGCCATAGAATGCTCAGTTTTGAATAATTCTGGACAAATATTTTTTTTATTTATGGATATGGTGGAACAGGGAAGACATTTCTATGGAATGCTCTGTTGGGCAGCATTAGAAACAAAGGGAAAATAGCCTTGGCAGTGGCATCCTCTGGTATAGCAGCTTTATTACTTCCAGGAGGCCGTACACCACATTCATGCTTTAGAATTCCTCTAGACATCCAAGATGATTCTATGTGTGCTATTAAGAAGAACACCCATCTTGCTGAATTGATTCAACAATCATCTCTCATTATATGGGATGAAGCACCTGTCAACCATAAACATTGCTTTGAAACATTTGATCGCACCCTTAGAGATATCATGTCATCGATCAACCAGGATTCAGTGAGCATGCAATTTGGTGGTATAACAGTTGTCTTAGGTGGAGACTTTAGGAAAACTCTACCAATTATTCCTAATGCAAGAAAGCAACAAATCCTGAATGCCTCGATCACTCGCTCCCACTTATGGAAAATTGTGTGGTGCTTCAATTAACTGAAAACATGAGGCTCAATTGTCCAACCTTTTCTTGTCCAACCTTTTCTCATCAAGACAGGTCTGAGCTTGAGTTGTTTGCAACATGGCTTCTATCTTTGGGTGATGGTGCTGTCCATGATAGTGCACCCGCTGATCGACCGGACACCAGCTAGGTGGAAATTCCATCATATCTCTTACTACCGGCTGAAGAAAGGAACTTTGCAGGTTTGATTTCTTTTGTGTATGGTTCAATACCACATGTATCGTAGCTACCAAGCTACTTATGTGAGCGTGCGATTTTGGCACCAACAAATGAGATTGCTGCTGCTATAAATGCACAAATTATTAACCAGATAGCCACTTAAGAAATGTCCTACTATAGCTTTGATAGCATTGATGATGCCACACCAAACTACTGCAATGTGTAGTCTCTTTATCCTCCAGAATTCCTTAATACAGTACACATGAGTGGTTTGCCGGATCATCATTTACAACTTAAGATTAGTGTCTCCATGATGCTTCTTAGGAATCTAGATCC